TGGGGGGGGTGAGGGGGGTGGGGAGGTGAGGGAGTGGGGAGGTAGGTGTAGATAAATCTTAAGGAACTACAATTCCCAGAAGGACTTGCCTCTTCCTACGTTTCTATTGGTCGGTGTCTGTTACCGCGGACCAATCGTAAATGAATTCTTTAAAAGGTGCCAAAATGGCGCTGCCTACGACGTAGAACTCGGTTTTCCGGTAGGCTTAAATTTGGGGAAATGGTGAATGAAAGAAGAGGGAGAATTACAGCTTCAGGGCTGAGGAAGGTAGAGGAAATGTGGGATGGGTACATATAGGAGTTGGGGTGGTAGTGGTGGGGGACACAGCTAGGGCGAAGGGAGCGAAGTTAGGCAACCGGAGCGGGCTTAACCCCTTCCAGCTCTCTTCAGGGCTTTGAGCCCCTTTGACACACCTTCTGTCCCAATTCAAGGAAAGATTATTCAGAAGGGGAGAGGGTGATAGAATCTCTGCCTTGCCGCTTCCATTTCTACTTTTAGTTTTTCTGTCTTGTTTAAGTCTTCCAGAATTTCCCTTCGGTTTATCTCTCCTTTATTCTTTTCCTCAGAGCTCCATCTCTCCTCTGGCTCCATTTTTAAACTCCCGCCTCGCCACCGGTCTCGCCTCCTTGGAGTGAAATCATGAAGGTGGTGAACCTGAAGCAAGCCATTTTGCAAGCCTGGAAAGAGCGATGGAGCGACTACCAATGGGCAATCAACATGAAGAAATTCTTCCCGAGAGGGGCCACCTGGGACATTCTCAACCTAGCAGGTCTCCAGTGCAATGGGGAAGGACGGGTGGGAGGGATAGAGGGAGGGGTAGACCCAGGAAAGATGTTACCACTCAGTCTTTCTTTAATTTCCTGTACAGACGCACTCCTGGAGCAGGCCATGATTGGACCTTCCCCAAATCCTCTCATCCTGTCCTACCTGAAGTACGCCATCAGTTCCCAGGTAAACCTTCCCATCCCCAGGCATTTGAAGGTAAAACACCAGGAGAACAGTTTTCAGTTTAGGCTTGTTTTCTTACAAAGTTAGCTCTTCATTTTGTGATGAACATTATTACATTCTTTTGCTCTCTCCATATAATCATTTACAGTTAAAGCTTTTAAAATTTATATAATTATGGAGTGGGGGGCATGTGTGCCACAGAATGCATGTAGAAGTAAGAAGACAATTTTGTGGAGTCGAGTCTGTTCTTCCCACCTTCATGTAGATTCTCTGGGGATTTGAACTCATGTCAGCAGGGTTGTATGCCAAGCACCTTTACCCACCGAGCCTTCTTAGCAACCCCTTGTTTCTATTTTTGAGACAGTGTCTTATGTAGCCCAGGTTGGACTTAAATTCCTGATTTTTCTGCTACTACTTCCCATAGTTTGGGAGTGGGTAGTCGCTGATAAACCAGCCTGAGACCCCGATGTGCTAGGCAAGCGTTCTTTCTTTGAGCTGTAGCCCTACCCCAGTATTTCAGACAATAGCAGGCCTTGGGAATTTGGTCCTAGCACACAGGGAATGTAGAAAGTGATGCAGGCTCGCTAATCATTGATAGGATGGATTTGTGGTATGGTTAGGACAGAATATGGAAATGATGGAAGGAGGGTTTGGACACGATCCCTGCTCCTGTCTGAGCAGCCAGGAGAGGTGTTCTAGAGGAAGAGATTTTTTTTTTAAAAAGATTATTCATTTTATTACTTAATGTGTATAGGTGTTTTGCCTACAAGTATGTCATGTAACCATGTTTAGGCCTCTGCCTCAAATTCTGAGATTAAAGGTGGGAACCAAGGTTCTGGTATAGTGTGTCCCTAATCCCAGCGGGAAGAAGGTCAGAAGTTCAAGGTTATCTGTGGACATCTAATGAGTTTGAGGTCAACCTCAGAGAGAGAGTATACATTTTTTTATTTATTTTTTGAAACCGGATTTCTCTGTGACTTTGGAGCCTGTTCTTTGTAGACCAGGTTGGCCTCAGACTCACAGAGATCCATCTGCCTCTGCCTCTGCCTCTAGAGTGCTGGGATTAAAGGCATGTGCCACCACCGCCCAGCTTGAGAGGTGTAAATTTTAAAATAACAGTAAAAGACCAGACACACCTTCAATCCCAGCACCCAGGAAGCAGAAAAGGTGAACTCTGTGAGTCTGAGGCCAGCCTGGTCTACATAGTAAGTTCTAGAACAGCCAGGGCTACATGGAGAAATTTTCTCAAACAACAACAACAACAACAAATAAAAAACAAAAAACCCCAAAGCAAAACAAAATGAAAAAATAGTAACAATGAAAATAACTGTATTTTCCAAACTAGTGAGGAAATTGACATTATTTTAGTTTTGCCAATCTGTGTAATGTCTTACTTAATACTGCTAAATTCTCCCACGAGCTTCTTCATTCAATGCCTGCAATGAGGCTGTCTGTCTTGACATATAGTAAAAATCTGATTTCACATGTCAAACATTTGATTTGAAAAGGAATAATTTTTTAATGGTTTTTCAAGATAGGGTTTCTCTGTTTTGCCCTGGCTGTACAGGAACTCACTCTGTAAACCAGGTGGACTTGAACTCAGAAATCTGCCAGGCCAGCCTCTACCTCTGCCTCTTGAATGCTGGGATTAAAGGCGTACGCCACGAATGCCCTGCAAGGGAGAATTACTTTAACAATAGATTTAACTTTTCTTTTTTTTAAAAAAAATTTATTTGTTTGTTTGTTTGTTTGTTTATTATGTATACAATAGTCTGTCTACGGGTATGCCTGCAGGCCAGAAGAGGGCACTAGACCCCATTATGAGATGGTTATGAGCCACCATGTGGTTGCTGGGAATTGAACTCAGGACCTTTGGAAGAACAGGCAATGTTCTTAACCTCTGAGCTATCTCTCCAGCCCCTAGATTTAACTTTTCTTTATTAGCATTGTTTGTGTGTAGATGTGTGCATGTGAACATGCAGGCCTTCGTGCCTGTGTTGCAGTCAGAAGTCAGGGGTTGGGTTATCATGCATGTGCACAAACACACACAATCTCCAAACTGTCTGCCAGCATGCGGAAGAGGTATTTTAGTAAGCTTTCAGAAATGGATGTTCTTTGTTACTTTTTTTTTTCTTGAGACAAGGTCTCTTCCGTCAAGCTCTGGCTGTCCTGAAACTCACTCTGTAGCCAGGCTGGCCTCGAATCAGAGGTCTACCTATCTCTGCTTTCCAAGTGCTGGAACTAAAGGTGAGCACCATCACGCCTGGTTTGTTCTTTGTTACTATACTAAACTTAACAGGTACTATGAGCACCATTATTGGTGACTTTGTACAAAGTTACATTCAATCCTTTGGTCTCTCTTGCACTTTTATTTCTTGTGTTGGGGATCCAGTCTAGGAACTCAGACGTACTAGGTGAGTGCTCTACCACCTGAATACACCCCAATGGCCGTTTTGTACTTTGAGTGGATTTTTTACCAATGCATAATTGTTTGTTTTGAGACACTCTCCCTGTGTAGTCCAGATTGGCCTCAGCCCTCCGGCTGCTAGATTACAGCTGTGCTGCAGCTTTGGAGCATTGCACACAATGTTCGCAGCATCATGAAATGGTCCTTTTGGAACTGTGTAGCTGAGTTACACAGATAATCTAGTTCTTGCCACATTTAACTATACTATATCATTACGCATCATCAACTCTCTGGGACACTCCACTGCACAGCTATGAGAAAATGTGAGTGAGGACATAAATTATACCTTAGTAATATTTTTAAATTCTTTGACAGCCAGGCGGTGGTGGTGCAAGTCTTTAATCTCAACTCTCAAGAGGCAGAGGCAGGCCAATCTCTAAGAGTGCAAGGCCGGCCTGGTCTACAGAGTGAGTTCCAAGACAGCCAGAGATACACAGAAAAACACTGCCTCGAAAAACCAAAAAAACCCCATTCTTCTACTTTTATTTTGTGTGTGTGTGTGTGTGTGTGTGTGTGTGTGTATGTGCGTATGTGCCATCACATACACATGGAAGTCAGAGGACAGCTTTTGGGAGTTGATTATCTCCTTCAACCATGTGGTCTTAGGTATCAAACTTGAGTGTCAGGCTTGGCAGCAGCAGGTACCTTTATCTGCTGAATCATCTGCACGGCCTTGTTTTAACCATAGCGGGGCTTCCAGTCCCTCTAAAATGGTTTTGGGAACTCTGAGGGTTCCTTGAATCATACCTTGAGATCTGCTGGCTAGGACTTCAAGGAAAGTAGTGTATTTCAATTTGTTTTTTTTTGAGACAGGATCTCACTCTTTAGTTCAGCCTGGCATTATACTCACGGCAACCCTTCTGCCTTAGCCTCTCAAACGTGGGGGGATTACATTTGTAAATTACCGTGACTCCTGAAGGAAAGTGATTTTGAGAAGTAGAGATCAGATAATACGGACCCCGTGACAATTGGAGAAGTGTGGACTTTATCCTACAGTGGCGAGTCGTCACCGAGGGAGTTTTAGAACAAGAAATAGGGTTGTAAGGTTTTTATTGGCAGAGAGTGCTCAGTGGATAAAGAAGTATGAGAACTGGAGTTCAGATCCCCAGAACCCAAGGAAATGCTGGGTGAGCATGGCAGCCTGCCTGTAATTCCAGCGCTTGGAGGGCAGAACTGCCATGTCCTGAGCTAATAATAGGCCAGCTAGCTGAACCTTATCAGTGAGTTACGAGTTCACTTGAAAGATCCTGCATAAAGGAGTCAGGTGGTGAGCTGTTGCTGGACCTCAGCCTCAGGCCTCCACATGCGTGTGCACATACATGCATGGATAGCAGCACACATAGGAATACACACATGCATATGCACACACACTATGCACACACGAGGAAAACAATTTGTATGTGTGTTGTATAATGTTCCCTGCTTAATATAATTTAAGTTGCTTATAATTTGTTTTACCACAGTAATCATTGTACCATGAAACGCATCTTTTACACATTTACCTGCATATCTGGGAAAATATCTCTGAGATAAATACTTTAAAATGTAATTTCTGGCTTGGTAGTGTTGGCATGTACTTTTAATCCCAGCATTTAGGAGATAGACACGGGGATCTTTGAGTTTGAGACCAGCCTAGTTTACAAGGTGAGTTCTAGGACAGCTAATGTTATTATACAGAGAAACCCTGTCTCAAAAAAACCACAAACAAAAAGAAGATTCTATCACTTTACACCCCTACCCCCATAGTGTGTTTGTTGTTGTTCATGGCTGGGGATTGAACCCTCACCTTGCACGTGTTAGGCACGCACTCTACCAGTAAGCTTTCCTCCAGCCCTTCTCCATTATATTTGGTAGTATTCCCCTAGCCCTTCGCCAATGCTGGATACAATCTTTTATTTTTTGGTCTTTCGAGACAGATTTTCTCTGTATAAGCCTTGGCTTGGCTGTTATGGAACTCTGAGATTAAAAGCATAAGTAACCATTGCCAGATCTCAGGTTATTTTTATTTGCGTGTGTGGTGTGTATATGTGCATGTATATACCAATATGTGGGTGCCTTTTGAGACCAGAAGAGGGCATTAAATCCCTTGAAGCTAGAGTTGTGAGCTATCATATGGGTAAGGAGGGTCAAAGCTAGATCATCTGGAGGAGGAACTAGGGCTCTTAACTGGTGAGCCATTTCTCCAGCCCCAGTGTTGTCATCTTTATTATATACATTAATTTTTTTTCTTTTGTTTTGATTTTTGATACAGGGTTTCTCTTTGTAGCAGTTCTGACTGTCCTGGAACTTGCTTTTCAGACCAGGCTGACCTCAAACTCAATTGAGATGATCCTGCCTCTACCTCCCAAGTGCTGAGATTAAAGGTGTATACCACCGCTGCCAGAAAATTGAAAATTTTTCTAGCATTTGCTTTCTTTTTTTTTTTATTTAAAGATTTATTTATTTATTTCTTATGTATATAACATTCTGCCTCCATGTATGCCCGCACACCAGAAGAGGGCACCAGATCTCATTACAGATGGTTGTGAGCCACCAT